AACCTTTGTTGGCTCAAGCTCAGGGTTGGTACTTATGGGTAATGTTGACATAATGGAGGAATGCATACATTGCAAATTTTTGCATTTCAAATATTTCAAAGCCTAACCAGCGCTTCAAAACTTTCATATTGATCGAGAGATGTTTTCGAGCAAAAAAAGAACGATAAATAAATACCGAATCCGCGTATGTGGCGCCGCTCAGGGTGCACCTCAAAATTCGATTTTCGGAACTCGAAATATGATTTGTGTCAGGCGCAGTTTGCCGGAATATTTTGTCGGCTACGGTTGAAAACTTGTTAGGTGATGTGATGCAGGATAACGAGGAATGCAGGTGGACGGTGCGAGATCACGATACGTGGGTTATCAAATCATAGGCGGTGGTAACGACTTCGCAGACGTAAACTTGTTACCCAGAACCGAGCGCCATCAGACGGGAGTTTGTTTTGCATTTAAATGCCTAGTTAGCAGCGTGCGTAATTAAATAGGTCTCATTTGGACTGAGCTTAAAGTGTAATTTCGAGTATTTTTAAGGAGTATTGCGCAGGTATACTTATACACCTAGGTGACCTGATTTCGTAGTTATGATAAATAGAGCTGTCATTTAACAAAATGAGAATAAGTATGAGTATATTTTGACTTGAAGAAGTGAACTTCTCACACGAAGTTTAAATAAAGCATCAATAACTATTTTTGTAAATAGATATTCATGTAATTGAGAGGTTGGAAACGCAGAGTCGATTTTTCACAATAATCTATAGTAGATCAACTAATTAGGTGTTATGCAAGAAATATATCTAACACTTAAAACAGTAAATAAATGAAGAAAACATTGAAACATATTTGTTTTAAAGATATTAGCGATAACAAAATTATTATCTGACCCCAAAACACATTTTTAAGACCAAGTAGATACATATGTATTATTTAGTTTCAAATGGTGATACCTTATAATCCCACTAATCTTATCGCGTTAATATTCTAATGAAAGTTTGATAAGTACCTACGTATACACGGCGCGTATCTCGGGAACGGCTGTACAGATTTCGATGAAACATTAGTATTGCCAAAATATTTTTAACGTACCTGGTTTTCCACTTACCTATGTAGAATTAAAATTAATCATAAATAATTCCTTCCGATCTCATATCTATACTATTATCATAAAGCTGCAGAGTTTGTTTGTTTGCATGTGCTAATCTCCGGAACTATTGGTTCGAACAACTTTTGAAGGTTATTAATCAAACCATTTAACATGGAACGATGTAGGCTATAAAACATCACGCTACTGGCGTGAAACCGCGCGAAAATAGCTAGTGTCGATATAATAAGCTATGTAACTGCTTGAAAAGTAAACTTTTCAATGATGTTTTAGACACTGTGTCATTATATCATTCATATTATTTAATTCTGTTTTATTTAGAGGTGGACCTGACTACAAGGACTGTATATGTTATCCCAACATTTTTTTTAAATAGTTTATTTAAAAACGTGATAAGTATGTTTCTGACAGCCTACCCCTGCTTTTTCTGAATAAAGTGGGACGGAGATTGTATGCAATCTTTTCAGAGCTAGGGAAATAGAAATGCAGCTTATGCAAGCCCACTTACTCTGTCATGTTCTTTGCATAAGGTACACTGTGTGTCACGACAGTGCCACACAGAGAGTAAGAACCTTAGACAATTTCCTGAAACAATACCTACTTCATTTTATTTTCAACTACAATTCAAACTGTACCTATTCAAAGTATTCCTGCTTTTCGACGACTGTGGAAATATCGGACGCTCGTTTGACCTATTTATTTGGTGGTGTGAAGTGTACAGTTATAATCAATAGATGGCGTAAGCAGCTGCCTACGAACATAAAATACTGATGCGATGAAAATATCTATGGCCTTAATTTTAAGTTTTAAAAATAAAACAATTCAAAGTTAATCCATTATAGGAACTATGAACGTCAAGCAATATAATTAAATTTGAGAATAGTGTAAACTAAAGGAGAAAATGAAATCAATGTTGACATGGTCAAAAGTACCTACATGGGCAGAATAGGTACGTACAAATTTTCGTTAGTTTTGTTCTACGAGTGATGTTTGTGTGACGGGGTGCTGAGTTTCGTGTTAGCTTTTAATTGAAAGTTTTATAATTGAAAAAAAGTTTTCCCACCCCATGCGTCGAAGCCTATATAAAAATGAAAGCTTGGTGAATAAAAACTAGAAAAATAGCTACCATATGTTTTAAACACATAAGTTTTATAAATTTTTATCCGCACTAATAATTGTGTAAAAAAATTGTGCCAAATAAATTCTTAAACGAAATACAAGATTTGATCTTAGAAACACACAAAATACATATTTTTAGACAAATGTTGTTCTTTAAAAACACTACACATATCTACTAACCACATATCTACTACACATATCTACCAATAAAAATATACACATTGAAATAATATTAATAATATAAAATGGTTCTTAAATTAAAGAGACTGTACATAAATACTCCTGAAAGAATGTTTAATTGCTTTTGGCTTATGTTCTTGAACCATAGACTTAATTCAGTCAAACTTCAAAATGGGATATGTCATCAAACGAGAAAGTGTTACCCGATGGTAAGGTAAACGCAGGTATTAACGACCCAGCGAAAATCTGCAGTTATTATCGACCTATAAAAGTAATTCGATATTTTAACATTTCCAAAACTATTCTGGCTTTATGTAGACAAAGTTACACACGGGTTTATTCCTTGAGCATCGTGTACTTTTACATTGGCTATGCCAAAAATATATGAAATACGTCAATTACCGAGAGGCAGCGCGGACGCAGGAAGTGCTGTAGGTACTGTCTCCTTGTTCCTTCAAGTAAGTACGCGACTTTTCTATTTAAGGCATTTATACAAGAAAAATACTTCTATGCTTTATCTTATATTACTAAATGTATTCATTAAGGTGTCGATTTTTGATTTTTTACGATACTTTACTAATAAAAATTAATTTGAAACGATAAAACTTTAAATTAAAATGGGACGATGTTATAGACACTCGCAACACCAAAGGAGTTACGAGTGCGTTGCATACCTTTTGGGGTTTCGGATAAGGATCGGGAAGGCATGGGTTGAATGGGAGCGATTGGACTTCCGGAAGCTCACTCATACGTCGAAACACAACGCTGTAGTTATTTCACGCCGCGCCGGTTTTCTGTAAGGCAGTGGTATCACTCCAGCCGAGCTTAAAGCTATCGCAGTGCCATTTTTTTTTACTTCTATTCAATTATGTAACTACATATCTACGTATCCATATTATATACTATAACAAAATATAATCACAAAATAAATTGATAGATACTTGACTACATGCCGAAAAATAATAATTTATTCGCGGCAAAAGATAAACATTGTTCACTCAGACGCCATAATCCTCCTTGAATAGTTACACAAGGACATCAAATACTTTGAGTACCTAAAGGACTTCATAGAAAATGAAATTAAGGATCGATGTCTCAAGGCTATGAGCCCGACCTGTTGCCAACTTGTGGACTGCTGTAGGCGAGACACATCATTCTTCTTAGACCGTCTGTAAATAAAATAAGAACATGATTCAAGTAAATTATAGGTTTGATTTTCCTAAAATTAACAGTATATCTACTTATATCGAGCTCGAGGTCCCGCGGACTCTGGACTCGATGTTTATTTATGGCAACAAGTTGACTTTCTAATACGAGTGTAGAACTGCATAACTGAGAAAACGCGAAACAGTAAAGGAAAGCATCGTCAGGAAACCTGAACTTATAATTTCTGATTTTGTAATCCCTAATGTGCTCGTTTTAGCTTTAGAAACGAAACTACAATGTAGGTACGTAGTTCAGTTGACCACAAAAATCTTGATTGTTTGAATGATTATCGGTACGGAACTTGGCTAATATACAACTTGACGATGGATTTTGCGATTCAAACAATGAGAAATCTATTGCCTATTATGGATATTTCGTACCTGGAGTGTTCTTCAATAGCAGAGAGAATCTGATGGCCTTTGATTGTAATCCAACTAGTTGAACAATGCAAGCTGCAAAGGGCTGAAGTGATCCATTCACAATAGACTTCTTGATCAACGAGCATTGATTAGAGAAGGCTCTCGAACGAGATGAGTGTAGTGGTTCTCTAGAGCAACCCTAGAACCAACTGTGAATGTAGCCAAATTGATCCAATTAATTAATATTCATTGGAGACTGGTACGATTGCATAAGATTGTGGGTACTTCAAATGTAAAACCGGGAGTCGCGTGAACTAACTCAGTGATTTCAATAGTTCCTTATAAAATTCTGTTTCTTTTCCAAGATTTGATACTCTTTTACTGATTTGATGTCAAAACTGTAGTGAAACATGTTTTATTACCAAGAAATGTTAAGAATCACCAACGAATGTTACATACAGAACATACACTAAACAGCATCAAACTCAAATAAAGACAAATAAAAATTTTGTGACTGACTACTACAATATTTTTTTAAAATTTGTATTGTTTTTAAATAAAATGTGGCTCATAGTGAAAAATAAATTATATTTCATAGTCAAAGGTGTCGGTTGACACAGCAGCTATTCAAAAATTGTCAAACACGCCTTAATTGTAATAAAAAAATCTATAACATCTATGTCAAAGAAATCAGAGTCGAAAATATCGTAAACATTTTCTGGCTTTGATAATGAATCAATAAACAGGCACTTTTTCTATGTCCCCTAGTATTCCAATCGTTCGAAAAACGAACGCCTAGATCAGTACCTAGATATGTAAAAAAGAAAACAACAAAAATTCTTGAATAATTCGTGTACTTCAAATGATAAGGTTTTATCTACGGATCCAAGTATAAATCTTGGATACCGTTATCAATTAAATATGTGGTGCACAATGTCAACACTAATCGCAATCAGAACCGCGTGGTATTAGCGCCTGGACAGTAATTATCACTTTTTCAATAATTAATATTGTTTCATTGGAATTGTGACTGTGACAAAATGTGTGGTGTGATTGGTAGCGTGACCACGTTGGTCTTGGGCGCCATCCTTGTGATCGGCAGCTGCATCGTCAGCTTCGTAGTGGTTCCTAACATAGTCCGGAATGTCATCATAGGCGTAAGTGTTTTCTACAATAAATTTAAATTTATAAAAATGCATCGCAAAATGTATTAGTAAGCGCATAACTCGACAACTTCTGAAACCAAAACGATCAACTCTTTTTTATTGTATTTAATATTGTCAGAAGAAGTTATTTAAGAAAGAAAAGTAAAGGGGAAAATTAGATTAAATCGATTCGTTCGTCGATAGATAGAGATAGCGAGGTAGTTGAACAACCATGGGAAGCAGAGAAGGACCGCTATTTATATAAAATTATCAGACTGCATAATTAACTGTTATGTATCCTCGGAGAAAATATAACTAAAACACTTAAGCGACTAATTAGTGCAGAATTTCCTTCGTTCCGCGGAACCGTACTCATTCAGTCAACAGCTTTCTCAGACCAATTAGGTCGCCGAGTAATTCTGGATAGAACAAAAGACAGTTCCAGTAATGGTGTCTAATAAGGACGAAGTGCAACTTCCTGGATATCACTACATAGTAGATGTTAAACAAAGTCGCTTTCTCTGTCCCTATATCCACATGTATACTTAAATCTTTAAAAATCATTGTCTTTTATTTTTTTTGTTCCTAAATAACTGACGTGTTTGTTATTGTATATTAACGTAAATAAATACGATCAGCGCCTCAGTGACCTATTGAATTTTTGCACCAACACTCGAGTGTCGAGCGAAATATTGACTTTGTAAACTTCAAAGATCAATTGATTAACATTTTATGGCATGTTACTTGTTCTTTTATTAAAATAGGTACAAAAATATTTTTATAATTATTTTTCTTTTTTTTGTTGTAAATAAAGCTTTCCTTCAGCGTCTGAGCCCGCGTGGAATTTAAAATATTCGTCTCAGGAACGCACTAACTATGGAATGTCGAGATAAAAAATGTAGTTAAAATATTTAAGTTTTTTCTAAGTAAGCGAAGCACCTGATTTTGTATCAATCTAAGTACGGATTTATAATAAAAAAAATTGTTTAAATATCTAAGATAGCTGTTTATTTAGATATCTATGATATTAAAATACTTTTTCTAGTTTTTGTAAGATAGAGGGCGCGCATCCGTTGAGAAACACAAACCTCTTTTCTGCAGTTCTTGGGCAGAGGCTCGCAGACCTCATCATAGTTCTAATGACCAAAACAAAAGAAACAATGGAACCTTGCATCTCTGTCTTTCCTATTTACAATCAGCTTTTGCTACGTCTACTTCCGCATAGAAAAATGAACTTTATGCAGGATATTTTTTTGTTTGTAATTTGCAAGACAAATTTCTTATTCTAAGTTTATAAACTATGCGAGATAAAGGGTTTAATCTATTCCGTGAATCAGTTGCATCCGTCGTATACAATCCAAAAAACAGATTCCCTTTTTATGTTTTTCAACATCATCATCATCAGCCTATAAGTGCCTACTGCTGAGCAAAGTTCTCTTCTTATGTGGAGAAGGTTAGAGCATTAACCACCACTTGCTCAATGCGATTTCAAACTTATAATTAGAAATCATAAGTCCAGGCTTCCTCACGATGTTTACCTTCGCTGTATGTCAGAGGTGTCTAAATAATCATATAAAGTACATATATAACTCGGAAAAAGTCACACTGGTACTTGTTAAGTTTCGAATCCACACCCTCATGCATCGGGCACGCTACTATAGCAGAGGTAAGACCCCTCTTTGTGGAGTGGCTTGAGAGACGCCACGGCGTCCTCACCTTCCGCCTGACGCAGGTGCTTACCGGTCACGGCAGCTTTGGTAGGTTCCTGTTTCGGATCCAGCTGAAGGAAACGCCCGAGTGTCGTCATTGTGAGGACCAATTAGAGGATACGGTGGAGCATACGGTAGCGGTATGCCCTGCCTGGGCTGAGCACCGCCGTGTCCTCAGGGAAGTGATCGGCGGCGGCGACCTCTCACGCCCGGCCTTAGTCGAGGCCATGGTGCGGAGTGAGAGGAACTGGGACGCCGTCTCCTCCTTTTGTGAAGCAGTCATACTCGCAAAGAGAGAGGCGGCCCGCGTGAGGGAGCAATCCTCCTCCTCACGCCCCAGCCGCCGCAACTGGCGACACTACGGGCGTCGGGGATCAAGGGACGATCTCCGGCCACCGTAAGCACGGGCCTGCGGTCGGCGAGTAAGGGCAGCTCGCCGCCCGACCAGAACCAGGCCCGAGCGTACGGCGCGTAGCGTTCCGCGCGCGCCTTAAAGAGCCATTAGACCATCACAAAGGGCTGATGTTCAGCCGGGGTTGCGGGGTAAGCGCAATGAGGCACCGCGACCTCGGCACGGAGCAGGAGAAGGAACAGGGGGGTTTTTAGTCAGTAAGAGTCTGACACTCCCTCCTGCCCGGCCCTGGGCGGGAGAAGTAATTTGATGATTTTCCCCTCACAAAAAAAACACCCTCATGCATGAGAAGCGGGCTCCTTAACCTCTGGGCCACCACGACACATTTAATATTTTTATCTATTGCTTTTTACAAGGGCCTTATCCCTTGTTTCTTGATGTTAGTTGGCGAGGTTTTAGAGTGCGTCGATCCAATAATCGATAGGAATACTTTACAAACATACAATGTATTACAATTTACAAGTATTTTATTTATAAATACTTATGTAAGATCCGTTATTGGTACTTTGACATTGTAAAAGTAACCACTCGAGTGAAAAGTAAAGAAAAATAAAATATAGTTTCTTTACATTATTGAAGAATGCTTGATAAAGTTTTCTTTACCGATTATTTTGTAAAAGTATTTATTTTAACTTTATCGTAGGTATTAATCGCCAGCCGTGTTTATTAACATCTTCACTCGAGTCTAGCGAAGTGTGTTTTCGCTTTTCTATGTACTTCTTATTGAAGAACACGTAAAAATCAATCAAAACTGTCCTGCCTTACTTTGAAGGAGGGAATGAGACTGCCTTAAGCGTTTTTGACAAGTTCAGTATTAGTATAAGTAATATGAATTATGTATATTTGACCAAGATAAATTATATACAACTAGCTACTCTAGCGCAGTTTCATCATTTTGATCGTAGCGCGATGCTTCATAGTGAAAGAATTTTGGAAATCAGACCAGCGGTTCCAAAGATTACTCCCCACATACAAACTTTCAAACTTACAAACATACAAACTTACAAATTTTACCTCTTTATAGTATTAGTATAGATACGTATACAGTAGTCTTCAACAATTATGTACTTGTTAAGAAACCTTAAACAAAATCTGAATATCTACCTTATTTGGATTACATAGCTTTCACTCTTTCAACTTCTAAGTACTCTGTTCAAAATAGAATTTAATTAATTTGGTTTTTTCTATGAAAAGCAAGTACAGTACCTACTTGCTTTTACCTTTGCCTCATACCTACGCCGTACATCATTTTAATCATATGTCATAATTGTTTGAAGAATAAAAACGCCAACCTCCCCGCCCCTTTTTACGGTCTTGTCTGCTACCATAATTCCAGCATTTTTGAACCTACTTAAATATTTTAGTCTCAATAATATATGATACCATTCGGATTATAAATATAAATAGTAAAAGTCCAGGACCCTGCCTCGATATCTAAGATTCTAGATTTTACTTAACCTAATCAGAGAAATGAATGCGCGACCCCTCACATTAAAACCACTTGACGAACAAGACAGCAAAAATAGCAACGAAAAGTCAAAATATTGAATTAAAAGTTAATAAAAATGTCTCATTAATTCTGAATTTATAATTTATTTTTATGTATGTCAAATGTCAATACCTATCTGTGATAAAAAGAAATAAAAAAGAACATTAAAATTGATATAGGTTTTAGCACAAAAAACTAGATTTTGGTTATCTGTAGTCATATTAATTTTATTTTTATTAGGTGTTATTTGCATAATATGTCGAGTTTGTGATGACTTGTTATGCATTTGTTGATTAGTCATTAAGTTAGGTAAGGTTAACATTGCCAACGTCTATATAAGTATAGATTGGTAAAATTTCGACGGATAAATCACTTCATAAAATCGAACAGTTTTTTCCTGTCTCTATATCCCTATGCACGCTTAGATCTTTAAAGCTACGCAGCTGATTTTGATGCAGTTCTTTTAATAGATATAATGATGGAAGAGAAAAGTTTATAGGTATTTATCCATTAAATAATGTAGAAATTTAGTATTAGCATTGCATTAATATACATACATACATAATTATACCAAATTCTATCTTATAATTACTATAAGTACGCTCTGAAATTGAATGTACTTGTAACTCTTCTTGTGTTTTGGATGTTCATGAATGGTGTTGACAACTTGCCACCAGGGGCCACCTGCTCCGCGTCCCGTCCTACTTGTATATAAACCAGCTTTTTAAACTGAACCTTGTAAAGTGAAATCAGGTTAGAATCTCTCAGGTTGGAAGAATGCCAAGAGAATGAGGTATTTTGCTTTTTATGAAAAGTTATAAATATTATAGATACATTTTTTGTATAACAGAACTTGTGTTTAAAGAATTTTTAATAATTTATGTTATAAAAAAATATAAAGGCCTAACAAAAAAGTTTAGGACTTTATAAAACAATAGCTTTTTCTGGTAAGGAATTCTGCAAATAACGCGTTTTCCGATGGATGAGAAACTATCCTACCAACATATATCTCTTTCGTATTTTTCGTGTGTAATATACATATATACTTACATATTTTGTATTGTAATTTTTTTTGAATAAGTATTTTATTACGTACGTATACCAACTTTATTTTTAATAATACCTGTGTTGTAGCCTAAAAGCCTTGCTTTTTTCGTTGCTCTTTAAGTGGACTCTACTTCACTGTCATAATTGAATGACGAAAAATTGTTAAGATGTAATTCAAAATCGAAACTATTTAGTATTGACTAGGCACAGACAGTTCCCAATCGTTTATCTTTATGTGCATTTTATACTAATAATCCTGATAAAAATGAGATAAAACATGAACCCGCTAGTGATATAAACGACTCTCTCTCGATAAGGTTGATAGAATTTATAAATTATCTTTATTACGTAAATT